CCCCAGCCCGGCCTGACCGGGCCCGCGCGGAGGGACACGTCCGGCTCCGCACTCCTCACGAGACCGCCCCGCCTCCCCTCCCCTCCCGCTCTCGCCGCGCGCTTCCTCCCCGCCGCTGCGTGACAGCCCTCCCCGCCCCGCCCGTGAGGGGGACGTGTCACCAGTGCTTCCACTCTGGTGTCTGGGGTGGACCTAGAGCTGTGCCCCCCCACGCACATCCAGAATGGGGATGTGAAAAGGCGGCTAATTTTTGCGAGAAACCAGTGGTTAAAACACAGCCACACGCGGGCTGTCCCCTCTTCTCCCCCTCCCGAGCGAGGCCTGGCATTTCCAGTCCCTCCACAGCCTTGTCCCTGCTGGGACTCGAGGCCTTCGTGGTGTGTCCGCAGAGGCCAGAGCAGATGGATGAAGCCCACAAATCTCCACAGCGACCTGAGAGTTTGATGGAGCCTGAAATTCTTAATGGACGTATTTCTAAGGAGAACAAAACCTAGAAACACCCAGCGCCTTGATCTCATGTCCCATCATCACATTCAACCCAGAGTCCAAAAGCTGGCACAACTGGTAGGCTTGGCAAGGGCCTCACTGCCTGGTTCCCCCATGCGTGGGCAGGCCCAGAGGTGCTCAGTAGTCTGGACATTTCCTCCACATTTGCACGTGATGTTTGCATCATTAAAGTGTCCCCACAACTGTGTACTCATCTGACCCCTGTTCGGAGGCAGTACACGCTTCTCCATGTTGGGGAATCAAGCTCTGCCCTTGCAGGGAGATACTCAGCAGTTGTAATATTCATCCGAACTGCCTCCTGGGTCACATCTAGTTGTCAGTATCACCTCAAAATGGTACCGCCTCAGTTGAAGCTATTTAAGGACTAAAGAAGCATTGCTTGTCAGTGCTGCTGTGTGAACAGTGCCAAAATGGACCAGCTCCTGTCATTTTCCATAGTAATCAGTTGGGGGCCTACTTCTGCAAGGTTGGGAAGGAGGGGAAGATAGCCACCCTGAAGTTGATTTGCTCCCATCCTTTTCTTGGCTCCTAATTTCAGTCTTTTGACAGTCGCTTCCTCTTCACCGTGACAGTTACTTCCAGGGTAGACAGAGGGGATGAAAGATGCTGGGCGCGTAAAGGGTTGTTTACCAGCTGATGTTCCTGACAATGTAATCAAGAGGAAAACTGTGAGACTGGTCTGGTGTTAGGCAGTTACGGGACTTATACACTTATTCAGCATTGTATTTATGCAATTTATATACATGTAATTGGAGCACACAGCTACTGTGAACCCCTTAAAATGGTTAAGAAAATAATTACCTGGGGTACTGCCTGTCTCCATGAGTGTGAAGCTTTGAAAAGTAGGCCAGCTAGGTCATAGGCCATGTCCAGCATAGGCCAAAATAAATGCACCTGCAGTCTAGTTCAAGCAGATGGACATTTTCTTCTCCCTGCCCCTCTCCCAGCTAAGGCAGACACCCCCTGTGAGTACTAGGGGTCATCACTGCAGGGGAACAAAATTGCACATGTGCAAACCAAGGACTGAAAATTAATCCTAACATCCTAATTTGAAGTCAGAGATTACAAACAATGTTTCTGTATGTTGAATCATTGGCTCAAGGGGATAAAACTTAGAGAAAACAACAACTGAAAAGAGTCCGAATTGCAGAGGAGCAAGAACTTAATCATAACAAAGTGATTTGAGATTTTATATTTCTCGCTTGGCTGGTTAAGGAGGAATCTGCTATATATCACTGAACACCAAGATTCCTTGCTTTCAGTTGTTTTTGAGCATTAGTTATCTCCTTGATGATGGATGGAACAGGGCAGTAAGCGTTCACCTATGATTTGTTTGATCTAATCACAGACTATTTACCATACAAGCTGGGACAATATTTTCAGAATCCTAAGCATCTTTTACTGGTTGACTTCTAATCGCTCCAGTAACCAGCTCTACTTGAAAAAGAATGTCAGGCCAGCAAGCACAGCCCAAATCAGAGGAAAACTCTGTTCAATTCTGTATACCTTTTAAATCTGGTTTCCTCATGAAGTACCTGATTTTGTGTGCACTACTCCTGGGCTCCTAGGCAGCTAGATACTTTGTTACCTGAAATTGGGAGGCTCAGGCAGTGGATAGTAGCTTTACAGTCTATCTTAACTGTTATTTAGCTTGATTCCAAGGGGTGGTCTATGGCTCTTGACTCAACCTTTCTCACCCACATCATGCTGTAGCCACCCTTCACCTGTCAT